ACCAATATCTCCACCCTTGGGGATTCGTTAATTCTCTTTACCAATTTTTTATTTATTCATTCTGTCAGTAAATATGTATCAAAAGAAACGAACAAAAAAAACAAACCCATTGCTGTTGAGTTGATTTTGACTCGTGGCAACCCCATATGTTACAGAGTAGAACTGAGCTCTACAGGGTTTTCTTGTCTGTTATCTTTATGGAAGCAGACCACCAGCCCTTCTTCCCATGGCACAAGTGGGTGGATTCTAACCACCAACCTTTAGGTTAACATTCGATCACAAACTACTTGGGCCACCCAGACTCCTGATATGTATCAAGGCACATTTTAAATGGGTTGTGAAAATCAGTTAATACGTATTGCTTAATCACAAGGGAGAGAGGCTGTTTCTATCAGTCAGTTATAACTGAAGAAATCAGAAAGTAGAAATTTCTCCATAAAAAGAAAACATTCCAGAATAATGGAGGCCTTGATGGAAGGCCATCAGATGTTCACTGACTCCTGTATCCCCTCCTGCAGACCATGAGTGAACACCAGGGTCAGGGTTCAAGCCTGATTCTCCTTCTTGTGTTAACCACCATCTCTGACTCACTGTCACACCAAGTGCTTCCACTTCCCCTACTCTCACCTTGAGAAATGTTCTAATTATTTCTTTCATTCATCCATTTACTCGCTGCCAATTCAAGCATTTGCTTATGGGTGAAAAGAGTAAATGAATAATAAGTGGCAGCTCCTCCTAGGAAGAGCTTTAGGAATGAAGCAACAACAAAGTTGGCACGTTGCCTCAGAGGACGCTGTGGTCAGGCAGTATGTGCCAGGGTGACCGCTGAGTTCGGTTCAGTATTCCATCCACACTGTTTGTAGACCAAAGTGCATTCTTCATGAGACAAACAAATTAGAAAGGATTCTTTCCTCTTTATTTAGAAGTATTGCTTCTAGCATTTGTTACTTGCTAAAGATGCATTTCAATAGATCTCAGGATTGTAATTATTATCTTAGTGCAAGGAGGGAAAATGATTTCACCTCAAGTGCCATCTTTAGTTGATTGACGGTAATTGCCTGGAGTAACCAGGATAGAAAGGATTCTGAGGCTCAGTTCAAACTCAGTGGGAAAGATGTGATACTGTACATTTGTTTGCACTTCAGCTTGAGTAGGTACTCGTCACCTTCCATTTAGTTCGATATCCAAGAGACAGATGATAATTGAATTTTTTTGAAATTCTTTTTAGCATACAGTTCATTGGAAATAAATAAACAGCGATTTGATCACCTCATAATTACTGGAAAATGTTTCTAAGTAAGGAAATTGCTTGTCCCCACTGTAGAATATAGAATACAGAATTTGTATAAATTACAAACCAAATTCAGACACAGGCTTTCCCTCACTCCTAACTATGGGGTGTTTTTAATAATTAAAACAAGAAATTTGGATTCAGAAGTCTTTGAATATCTTCATTCTTCTACTGCTGATTCGTATGACCTGAAAAACTTTCTAGGCCTTATCCCTAGTCAGCAGAGGGTTCTCCAAAACCACTGGGCTGTTATGAACCATCCACATTAAATATCCACATTAATAAATACCTAACAGGAGCTGTGAAAAACATCTTGTCCTAAGAGTTTATTTAACAATAACAATAGGGTTTTGAGTCACAGAAGAATTAAAGAATAAATGGACTTCATGGTTTTATTTTACCAGATTCTAATTTCCTTTTATCCTTTCATTTTCATTTGTTTTAGGCTCTAAAAGGCAGGCAACATTTCAGATGTGTGGGTGGTAGAAAATACTGGGCTGTACTAGGTAGAGAGTGTGGTTTCATGTAAGATCATTAGTTCTTCAAATAAAAAAAAAAATTAGTGTTTTAGTCCTCCTCCTGCACAAAGAAAGTGGTGTGGCTGAGGAACTTGGGCTGACCGGATGCTCAAATTATACTCCTATGATTCTGGTATTGGAGCTAGTGATGAAGATCATTTTGCTAGAATCAGCTCTCTTAAATTGCAGAAAAGCGCATTTGGTGAAATGTAGTGTTATGGTAAAAATGCACAAGGTTGTCATAGGATTAGGATTAGTGAATCAATAGGGTTAGCGAATATATAAGCTCAATGTTACAGATAAAATGTTGGGGTAGGAAGGAAGAGAGAGAGAGAGGGAGAGAGAAAGTGTGTGCGCACATACACACATTTAAGGCCAGGGGAATCACTTGCCTAAGGCAAGGATTAAAACAGTAAGTGACAAGTAACAGTTTAGCTAAAATCGGGATTGTTTGTAAAAGGCATGAAGGGAGACAGTGGATAGAGAGACAAAAAATTAACAAGCACTCTTTCGGAAAGTTGGATGGGAATTTTCACAGAGGACTATAAAAGGAGGGAATAATACTGCAATATGATTTTTTAAATCTCGTATGTTTGTGCTACAAAAGCTCTGTAAAATGTAAAAGAACATGGAAAGATTGATATGCCCTATTATGCTGTTCTGTCTTTTATTGCTCCATGTTCTTCTCTTAGACAGAATTTTTCTGAGGTTTTTTCACGTTGTTAATAAAAATAATAGATATGAATAAATAAGACCAATTTATTTAATGCCAGCAGTGTGGTGGGAGTTTGGTGCCCTAAGGTGAATGGCATGATCCTTCTTCTAAAGAGCTGATGGATAATTAAGTTCTAATTAGTGCAGTAGAAGAAAAATGAGTAGAAGACAGTCAAGGTGAGGAAATGAAAATAAGAGTTTCTAAAGAAAATAAGCATTAAGAAAGGAATTTTTCTGAATTTTTGTAGGAAAAGTTAGCTGTGTATTGCAGAAAGACAGTATATTTGTTAGAGATGCTTCTGTTTATTCATTTATTTACTAATGGTGCACTGCTGCTATACTCCAAGGACTGTGCTGGGCATCAGAAGATACTGAGAGAAAAGCCACGCTCTAAAGGGGCTGACTACTCCATGGGCACATAAGAGGTCAGCAGGGCTGCACAGAGGTGGCCATCGGAGCAGAGGAAGAACATGCAACTCAGACAGGGAGGGCAATGAAGGGTTCTTGGGCAGTCTCTCCTCTAGAAGGGCCATCAGACTTCAGGAGCTGAAGCCATTAGTTGATAAGGCAGTTTACATGCATGACAAAAAGACGGAATATTCCTTCTATCTGTTGGAGTTCCTGGGTAGTGTAAATAGTTAACAGACTCAGCTACTAACCGAAAGGTTGGTAGTTTGAGTCCACTCAGAGGCACCTTGGAAGAAAGGCCTAGGGATCTACTTCCAAAAAATGAGCCACCGAAAACCCAGTGGAACACAGTGAAATAATCTTTCTACAGAAACAATCATTTAAAATAAACTTTACAGTTAAGCAAGCCAGTTATCATAATATGATAAGGAGGATTTATTTCACCATAGGAAGAAGCCATGACATTCTAACAATAGAAGGGAAAAAGACAGTTTCCAAAGACTGGGAGAAGCTTTAAAAATAGATAAGCCTTTAGGAGGGAAGTTAATTAGGTAAGAGGAAGAAGTAAAAATGAGTAGGTAGTCAGAGATGGGGAAATAGGCAAATTCAGAAATCCTAAATTTAATAAGGGAGACAAATATGTGGGAATTTAAAGACGCCGAGTTACTTTCTCTTTAGAAGTGTACACACAAGTATATATTACACACAATCATTTGTGCCATAGATACTCAATGAGCACCTGTGTGCCAGGTGAGGGGGATACAGCACTGAACAGGACAGAGGTGGGGGGACATGGTGGCACAGGGAGCACTCAGCCTATGACGAACACAGACATAAATGAATGACCCCACCAACATGCCTTTGCAGAGCATGGAAAGTGCTGGAAGAAAGGAGATTGGGGCTATGAGCTATAAGAGAATACTCAAAGGCCCTAATTTAGATTGAGGGGTCACCAGCTAGCACATCCAGGCCTGTTCCAGATGACCTACAAAGTTAAACAACATCAGGTATGGTGTTTAGAAAGTGAGATTTCATTGGTTTAAGTACTAAGTTAGCAAAACAGCCTTGGCAGCCAGAACAGGTGGGTAGATGCCAAGAGGAGATGGGTTTATTCCCAGCAGACAATGGAGAAAGGGGTGGAAGGGTCATATGTTCATTTCAACATTGAGTTCTTCCTTGGATGTGAAATTGCTGGAGATGAAACAAAAGGTAACTGAGGGAGACACCAGTACCACACTGTAAATATGGAGAATGCTATTTCCTCCTTGGCTTTTGGGATCTTTATTTTCCCAGAAGAATGAGAGGATCACTAGAGTCCTTGGGAAGAAACAGTTGTGGGAACATAGGGGAATCATGACTGAGGAGAAACGATGAGGAAGAGAGACCTCTTGCTTGTGTTGGCGATACATTTTCTGTTGCCTTTTGCTAAAATCCTATTGGTTTTAATAGTGCTCCTTGGCAGATGGCAGTTTGCATGATGTGCGTTTATGAGAGAAAACAGAATATGATAAGGCTGGACAGAGCCTGGTCAGCGCGGACCCTTGAACCTGCCCCAGACTGACAAAATGAGACTGCCTAGTGATGGTGGGACAGTGGATGTCTAACTAGCTCTCTAGGGGATGTTCCAGAACATTGAGGCCACCTCCTGTAGGTGGTGTGTGGCCTAAGGTAGAAATCTCAGACCAGCCTGATGATCTGAATGTCCCTGGGCCCCACCCCAGGCCCACTGAATAAAATCTCTGGGAATGAGGGTGAGGTGGACACAAGGCCGTGGAATCTCCATGCTATGGAGCCTTGCCAGATTTGGGAGCCACTGGACTAATGTAGGCACCCTGGTGGCGCAGTGGTTAAGAGCTCGGCTGCTAACCAAAAGGTTGGCAGTTCAAATCCAGCAGCCACTCCTTGGAAACCCTATGGGGCAGTTCTACTCTGTCCCATAGGGTCGCTGTGAGTCGGAATCGATTTGATGGCAATGGGTTGGTTTTGGGCTAATGTAATATTGTTTAAAGTATGCTCTTATTGGAAATTCCAGAGTACCTAATTTGTTTTCTCTTTTTCCTTTCCTCTAGGCCCTGGGAAATCATGAATTCGATAATGGTGTAGAAGGACTGATGGATCCACTCCTCAAAGGGGTCAAATTTCCGATTCTGAGTGCTAACATTAAGGCAAAGGAGCCTCTAGCATCTCAAATATCTGGACTTTATTTGCCATATAGAATTCTTAATGTTGGTAGTGAAGTTGTGGGAATTGTTGGATACACTTCAAGAGAGACCCCTTTTCTCTCAGATCCAGGTATTTTCTCCTTATAAAAGCACTATAAAACTCTCATTCCTTGAAAATAGATGCACTAAATCAGAGCTTGGCATTACTTTTATGGACTATAGATAAAAGTAGGAATAATGTGTGGTACTGGACAAAGGGTGTACTTAGGAGGACATTGATAAAATCAGTCTAGTGGCTTCCATGTAGTTTTAATTTGCTTCTTATAGACCTTTGCTCTTCTGCTCAATGAGTGCTTTGTTCACATAAACAGTATCTTTTTTTTTTTTAATTCAGTGTGTCCTGCATCTTGAATTGGAAGTGAAAGCCATTTACATCCAATGTTAAGCAGCACTGGAGGATGAGAGTCACATATCTGCTTCTCTTCCTGTGGAGCCAGAAGCCCAGAGTTAGGGTCTTACCTCCATTAAGTAGCTGTCGTTATCTTTCATTTTGTAGTATAATCATTACATGCTCTGGTTAATGCTCCTTTTTCCTTTTCGTTATTTATCTTTTTATAGTTTTTAATCACTTTGTTATATCTTAAAATCTTTCTAGGAAATTCGTATATATTCTTAAATGGTTTTAATAAGTATATGTCATTTTATATAGAGATATACATATATACATATGTGTGTGTATACGGTGCAGTTATTAAGCAAAGCAAACCCACCAGCCGTTCCTTGAGGGAAAAGACCTGGTGATCTGCTCCCATAAAGATTACAGCCTTGAAAACCCTATGGGGCAGTTCTACTCTATCACATTAGGTAGCTATGAGTTGGAATCAACTCAATGGCACCCAACAACTATATATATATATATATATATATATATAATCTTATAATCATTCAAGAAACATTTTTGAGCAACTTTTATTGAAATGCTTTTACTGAAACCCTTGGGCAATGAGCATAAAAATGAGGTTTCTCTAAATTATCCAAATTAATTTTCTTTCCATATTTGAAGAAAAAAGGGAAAGTAGGAGCTAGTATTATCCAGAAACAAGAGTTTTCATTAAGAATTAACTCATAAAGGACGTATGATTATTTCACAGTTAGAAAATTAATATATTTATTATTGTTGTTGTTGTTGAAATAGGGCCAGGCCGTTGGAAACAACAACAAAGAAAGGTCTTCTGTTGAAAAAGGAGGAAAGGATGGATGTGGGGTGGGAGTGAGGCCTTTCTGCTCTCCACTGTGTGGGTGAGGATTGTCAGTACTTGAGGTGGCAAGTAGACTTCTGCCCCATAGGTGACCAAGTCTTTGTAAACTGTATGACACAGTCATTATAAGCTGTTGTTATTATGGGGCAAAGTGGGATTGTCGGCACCCAGGACTTGCTGGCTTTTGAAATGTTTGGAAGTGCTTTTCAGACTAAAAGGGATGTGGTCACACCAGAAGGACCTCACTTGAAGTCTGAGGCTGGCCTTCTCCAGCCTGTCCAGCCTGACCATGGTCCTTCTCCCTGCTGCTGCACACAGCAGGGCCCCATTAGACCTTCCCAGGGGCTAATGGGATGCTTCCTCTTTGGGCTCCTAGAGGCTTATACGCAAAGTGTGGAAATAGGCTGCCTGACATGCTAACACACAAGTTGCTGAAGTGGAGAGGGCTAGAGAGCGCACCACCGCCCAGTTTCTGCAACCCTTGCCACCTGCTCCCCCAGTGGGTTGGGCACTCCTGCTCTGAGTCGCCAGCGCCCCCAGCTCACACCTCTCCCTGAGCACGGCCACACTGGTGTATCACATTTGTCCCTTCCTTGCTCTTTCCCTCACTGGCTTGAGCAGCCTGAGGTCAGAGCCTAGGTCTCCCCTCACTGAACGTCCAGAACCTAATATAGAGGCCACCGTATGATCTTTGGCTAAAGATGCAGGTTTGTTAAAAAACTGAATAAATACTTATTAGACAGAAATTCAAGAGCAAACTGTGTCTCCATAGTTTATATTTTATTTGCTGTTCTTTTAGTTCATTTAAGATCGAATGTGATCAAGTGCTATAAAAAAAAGAGTCAAAGTCAGGGATTCGGGAGGGAGTTTGAGGAGGGAGGGGGAGTTGAGTGAGAGGAGTGATGGTTGGCTTGGGGATCAGGTAGACTTGGTGAAGAACCTCCTTGGTCCCCTCAAGTAGTATGTAAAACGTCTTGAGACAAAGGGCATTCCAGAAGTGAGCCTAGAGTTACATACTAGAATGTAAGCTCAACGAGTTGGGGGACCTTGACTATCTCATTCACTGATCTACTAGTTATGCACAGTACGCAGCATATGGTAAGTCCTCGGTACATTCTAGTGGAATTAGTACAGGAGAGCAGGAAAGTATGGGGACACACAGGTTATGAGTAGGGAAAGCCAGAGAGTTGGGTTGGGACTTGAGTGTAGAACTTCCTGAATGCCTAGCTGAGGAGCTGAGGCATGATTTGGAGAAAAGCTTCATCCCTCATTTAACCATCACCAACAAGAAGGTAGAAAGTGAGGGAGGTTGTTGGTGGAGAGAAAAAGAGACTCCAGAAATCAGACTACCCTGGCTGGGACTCTCAGAGTCATTAGAGCAATCTGAGGTTGTAACAGAGGGGTTATCTGAAAGGATGATACTCTTGCCAGCAGCTTCCAGGAATCATGGGCTGTATTATGCAGTGACTAATGTGGGAGCAGGCTGGGGTGGAGTGAGACAAGATTTTTCAGCCTCTTCTAAGTCGAAGGCTTGGCAGCCCAGCAGGGCTTCTTCCTACAGATCTCTGGCTCCAAATCCAGCCTACTTCCTTCAGTCCTGGTGACCTAGGAAGCTTTGATTTATTTTAGCTAGGCAATAAAATTCCTGCAATATAACTCCCCTTATGACATCATGAAATTCATCCCAGGGCTTTCTATATATGTGATACCTGGTCCTGTGACATCTTTGATGTGTTGGGAGAATGCATTCCTTTGTCCGGGTAGGCATTTCTCTGAACTTTTCTGTTCCTTCTTGCCAGCCAAACCAGAGGATGGTAGCATTATCTGAAGGTCCCAGCATTTCATTCATTCTACTTAGTGCCTGTTTACATACCAGGCACTGTTCCAGGCACCAGGAATCCTGGCCCCAAAAATCCCTGCCCATTGGTGCTTACATGTTTAGTGGGAGAATAAATAATAAGTGATATGTGTGGTGTGTCAGAAGGTGGTGGTTGCTATGGAGAAGAATTAAGCAGGAGGAGGGAATGGCAAGTGTGGCCATAAAATACCCTTTCATTTCAAAGGGATCGTCAGAGAAAGGCACACAGAAAAAGTGACATGGTGCTGAGGGGCGACGAGGGAGCCATATTATTCTTTTTTTTTTTCCTTCATAAAATAAATTTAATACTATACACTTCTGAAATTATACAGTTTTAATTACAATTACCATGTGTCTTTTACTCTTAGAAAGTATGCATTTTGAAGATATCTTCCTTTTGAGGCTAGATCTTAACACAAAGGGAATAAAACAAATTTTAAATTTGGATTTGATAATAAGACCGTGTGGCTTAGCAAAGTATTTTTGAGAATGGAAACATAATTTTTCTTTTAGTCACTAGAATGCAAAAATCAGCTGTATTTCCATTATGGAATAAACTAAATGTCTTAAACTTCTTTTGTGTGTATATATAATATATATATAATTGTTGTAGTTTAAGTGAAAGTTTACATTCAAGTTAGCCTCTCATGCAAAAATTTATACTTACTTTGTTATGTGACCCTAATTGCTCTCCCTATACTGTGACAGCACACTCCTCCTTTCCACCCCTGAATTCCCATGTCCTTTCAACCAGCTAGGGAGCCATATTATTGATGTCTTCATGGCCAACAAGGGTGGCAAATCTGTTACAACTCCTGATTTTTAAATGTTGCCTGCAAGTTACTGAAAACACTGCAGCCCCAACACAAAGCATGTGAGCTTCTAATTCTCAGACCATCAGTGTGGGGCCTCCCTGGCTGTGATGTCAGTCATACTGTTTATCTTCCATGATAATGTGCACATGTCAAGTTGACTGATGTTAAAGACTCCAGAGTTCCCCCACTGAAGCATGTATATTTTTGTTAGTTGCCACTGAGTCAATTCCAACTCATGGCAAACTCACGTATGCAGAGAAGAACTGCTCCGTAGGGTTTTCAAGGCTGTGACCTTTCAGAAGCAGATCACCAGGCCTGTCTTCTGAGATGCCTCTCGGTGGGTTGGAACTGATTAGTTGTCGAGCGCTTAACAGTTTGTGCTACCCACGGAGCTCAAAGCACATATAGAGGCTCCTACATATCACAGTGTAACAAAGATGTGTTTTTAACAGTCTTATTGCTCTTTGGAGAGGTGAATACTTTTCAACCTAGGGTTTGCAGACTCCTGGGTATTTGAAAGTTCTTTATGCGAGGTCATTAATTTGGGGGGAGCATTTTTATTTTAGTGATGGTCTTTAGAAATCAGCATAAAGAAATCGATCATCTGGAAGACGCCCCTATAGCAGAGCACCAGACACAATGGCAGGACAGCATTTCTGTCTGGGTTTGCAGTCACCTCTGTGCCAGTATAAGCCACAAGGTCTCAAAGTTTTGCTGAGGTTTGGCTACAGAGACAGTGGGAGAAACTGGTGGTCTTGCTGCCCAGGGCAGTGCAGTCCGACTCACCAGTCTGTACCAGTCGGGAATGGTTTGTTACCACTAAGTCAAGGAGTAAACAGATAGTGAAGAACGTTCACACTTCCAGTTCCAGCAATATGTAGATCAAACTCTTATTTAATGCAAATTTCAATAATGCCCTAATGTTAACATTATCGTCAAGTGAACAGGACAGCGTTATCAACTGGCATGTTAAAACTGACACTCGAGGACTCCTTGCTGGCAGAGTTTTGTTAAGTTTGAAGACCGATGATCCTGAGCTTGCAAACAAAACCCTGCAGTTGCCAGTACTGTTCTGTACAACATGCTATGTGCTCAGGCATTTTCTGCACTGGTCTTGTGGAAGTCTAAATATAAAAACAGATTAAAAACAAATTCAGATCTGAAGCCTCATCGTTGTTTGAAATTCACTTTGGGCAAAATAATATGATCCACAACATTAAGTGAATGTAACTGATGATATTGATTTGAATTTTATTTGGCTTTGTAGGGGTTTTGTATGTAATTTGTAAATGTTTTAGTTTAAGTAATTTAAGAGCTTTAGTAAATTAAGCTGTTTGTACTTGGTATGCTAGAATGTATTTAAGCAATATAAATAATAAATCATGCTAATAAATTTCCATTTTATTTAATTTGTTCCTTAGGAAAGAATTTAGTATTTGAAGACGAAATCACTGCATTGCAACCTGAAGTAGATAAGCTAAAAACTCTAAATGTGAACAAAATTATTGCACTGGGACACTCTGGCTTTGAAATGGATAAACTCATCGCACAGAAAGTGAGGGGCGTGGATGTCGTGGTGGGAGGACACTCCAACACGTTTCTGTATACAGGTAATTATTTCAGTAGGACTGTGCAGCGGGGACATCTGCAAAGCATACTGTGTCTTTTTTGCTTTGGTAACTGTTATTATTTTTACTGCTATTTAATATACACTGAATGGCAACATGTACAAATCTTAAAGAGACATTACTAAGAATAATTTATTGATTTCACGATTATAAGTCAATTTGATTAACTTATATATATTATAAATATATATGGCGTCCCTGGGTGGCACAAATGATTAAGCATTCAGCTACTAACTGAAAGGTTGGAGGTTTGAATCCTCCCAGAGGCAGCTTGGAAGGAAGGTCTGACAGTCTACTTCCAAAAGATCACAGCCATTGAAAACCCTATGGAGTACAGTTCTACTCTGAAACACATGGGGTCATCACAAATTGGAGTTGAATTGATAGCAACTGATTTTGTTTTGTTTGTTTTTTTCTAAATATATAGATATAGATACACAGATAGATATTATATATAAAACATATATAAAAAAACAAAAAGATTACTGAGTCCCAACCAAAAGTCAGTTTAAATAGGCTATTTCAAAAAACAATGTCCTAAGATTTTTTAAGCATAAACAAAGTAATGTATATAGGCGTTTATTTTGTAGGTTGCACAGATGCAGAAAGAGCCAGATAACTCTGGGCTCAAGTCATGACTCTTCTGCATACTAAGACTGTTAAGTGTCCTAGAAGCCACTTAAGCCTCTGGAATTAGCGAGCTTGCGCATGTATGCATGTCCTAGTTCTGAGCACACACCGCGTGCACATTCTCTTCTCCCTCTCCCTCTCTTCCTCCTGCCCCCCCTCTCTCCCTTCATTCCTCCTTCCCTCTGTTGAAATATTTCACAAAGTGGAGCTGGCTTTCACTTAAGGAAATAATGCAAATATTTATGTGTGTTAATTCTCTTCCTTCACAAGTAATTTGCCTTTTTGTAGACCCAGGCTAAAGAATAATTTCAAACTCAGTTCCACCATTAGTGGGTTTCCAAGTCAATTTAGTAGGTTGTGACTAGTAGGGGTTTTTGTTTTTTTTAACAGACTAGTCTGAAATAGAATAGGGACTCACATTACTCATGTTGTTGTTGTTAGTTGCTGTCAAGTGGATTCTGACTCATGGAAACCTCATTGCTCATAGGAAGGATAAATATTGTTTCATGGAAAAAATATGTTTAAAGCAGAGAGAACAGCTCCAGGCACATAGCAGGCAATATATAAATGTGAATGGGGATAATGATGTGTACTGGACAGTGATGTGAACCTTCTTAATGCTTGTAATGTTGCAGTGAAACTTCTGAGAGCCACTTAAGTAACTCTGTTGTTAGGTGCCGTTAAGTCGATTCCAACTCATATCGATCTTATAGGACAAGGTACAACTGCCCCATAGAGTTTCCAAGGAACAGCTGGTGAATTCGAACTGCCAACCTTTTGGTTAGCAGCCTGAGCTCTTAATCACTGTGCTCAAGACCAGGAAAAATCCCATTAGAGCAGGTCTTTGGGGACAGCGCTAGTAAGACTCTGGAGCCTGACTGGCTCTACCATTAACTAGTAGTGGGATCCTGGGCAGGTGACTTACCCTGTCTATGCCTGATTCCCTCAGCTGTAGAATGAAGCAGGTAACAATAGTACATACTACAAAGGGTCCTTGTGACTTAATATATCTAATGAATGTTTGTAGGGAGAGCACCTCAGAACAAGGTCTCATACTTTAGCTGTTCTCATTTCAGTTGTGTCTCAGCTCTGCGGGTAAGACCTGTGAAAACCCTTCCCCTGAGGCTTTTATTAGCTTTTCTCCGAGGCAGTGTCAGAACCCTAGGACGTGGTGGGAACTAGATATCTGTCTCTCACCACCTCATCCTTGAGAGTAGTGGTTTCAAACCTTTTTTTCTATGATTCATAGTATGAAAGACATTGTGCACCAGGACCCATATGCACGCGCATGCGTGCACGCACACATATCCACACACAAACATGCGCAATTGAAAGAAAACTTTTACAAAGTACCTGGATTGCACCATGGTATTTTCTGTTCAGAATGTAATTATAGATAAGACAGACTTGATGAACCTGACATTTCTTCACGTTGCTGCCAGTGGCACAGTCTGACGGGATGGATGCATCCCTGATTCATTACTAGTGAAGGAGGGCCAAGACTTTGTTGTTGTTTGCAGTGTTGTTCATTGCTCCATTAATTTCCGCCCCCCGTAGTTTAGATAATTTGTCTTTTAGAGCAAGAAAAAGGTCTTATTAGTTACCTTACTCACAGGACGGGGAAACACTCTCCAAGGAAGCACATTTCCTTTGGGCATTAGATAAAGACTGTTGGATGTTTGTGGTTTAGTAAGTGAGCCCAGAGAATCAGTCCAGGGGCAGATGTGTGGCTGGTAGCTTCATCTTCTTGAGTGTGGCTAGTCCAGGGACTACTTGTCCCAGTTGTCACTTATTCTTTGGGTCCTTTCCATCAACTTATAGCCATGTCCTGGTGCTACCACCAGCCTCCTTTAGAGAGCAAAGTTGGAACCTTCTGGGTGGTGATTTTTGCAGCCACATAACACTGGTCAGTGTAAGCTCCATCTCAAGAAATTGTCTTCCAGGATGAAATGAGTCTATCCAAAACCAAAATCTAAAAAAAGTGACTATGAAACACAGTCCACACTGAACTATACATGTAAAAATTGTTGATTGGTAAATGTTTTATATATATATATATATATATCACATTTTAAAACAAAAGCGAAAAGCACTATGACCAGATTTTTTTTTAAGTATAAATATGCACATAAATAATTATGTAAATAGATAATGACAAAGCATGCTAGAAGGGAAAAGTACAAGATACTGTGAAAACATAATAGGAGGATCTGACCAAACCTAAGGAATTATCAGCGAATTTTCCCCTGAGGATGTGAAATTTGGCTAAGATCAGAAAGACACCCAGAAATCAACTTGGTAAATAATAATAACCAGTTGCCATTGAGTATATTCTGACTTACGGTGACCTGTGTGTGTCAGAGTAGAACTGTGCTCCATAGGGTTTTCAGTGGCTGATTTTTCGGAAGTAGATCTCCAGGCCTATCTTTCGAGGCACCTCTGGGTGTAATCAAACCATCAACCTTTAGGCTAGCAGCTGAGTGTGTTAACCATTTGTGCCACCCAGGGACTGTACAGTTAAATCTATATTGAGCGCTTACCTCAAGTCAGTCTTCATTTGCTGCATTAACTGTTAAAATTCTCCCAACAAACCATAGTCTCGGGAAACATCTAGGTCAATTGGCATAACATAATCCATAAAGACAGTGTTCTACGTCTGTTTTGGTGACTAGCAGCTGGGGTCTTAAAAGCTTGAAAGTGGCCATCTAAGGTACAACTATTGGTCTCTCCCTGTCTGGAGCAAAGAAGAGTGTAGAAACTGAAGACTCAAGGAAACAATTTGTTCAAAGGACTAATGGACCACAGAAATCACAGCCTCCTCTAGCCTGAGGCCAGAACTAGATGGTGCCTCGTTACCACTGCCGACATCTCTGACAGGGATCACAATAGAGGGTCCCAGACAGAGTGGGAGAAAAGTATAGAACAAAATTCACATTCACAGAAAAAAAAAAGAAAGACCAGACTTACTGGTCTGGTAGAGACTGGTGGAACCCCCAGGACTGTGGCCCTTAGGTACCCTTCAGACTTGGAACTGACCCACTTCCGGACATCACCTTTCAGCTAAACAATAGGCAGGCCTATAGAGCAAGCAGTATCACCAGTGAGGAATGAGCTCCTCAGAACATTCAAATATACAAGACCAAAAGGGTAGCATTTACTCAAAACCAAAATTCAGAAGTCAGGAAGGGGCAGGAAAGCTGGGTGAATGGAAACGGGGAACCCAGGATGGAAGTGGAGAGAGTGCTGACACATTGAAGGGATTGTAACCAATGTTACAAAGAAATCTGTGTATAAATTGTTGATTGGGAAACAGATTTACTTTGTAAACTTTCACCTAAAACACAATAAAATATTAAAAAAAAAAAATTCTCCTAACAACCCTGCAAGGTAGGTATTATTATTTTCTCTCCTTCATAGATAAATAAACTGAAGGAGAAAGATGTAAATAACTCACATGTAGGCCTTTGACTCCAAAAGTTCCTAATCCATATGCAAAGGCTCCCAAGCAGGTGGGTGTGGTCTAGGAATGGAAAGAGGCTAAGATTGCTGAAGTGCAGGGTGGGCATTCTAGATGGAGCTGGTGAGAAAAGAAAGGGCCAGATCATGTAGGTCTCATAGGTTATGATATTCGTGTTAAACATCTCCATCTCTGTCTTTTTCTAAGGAAGTAGCTTAAACTCGGGAGTAACATCATCATAGTTATGTTTAGAAAGATCATTCAGGCTGCCGAGTGGAGACTGGATTAGAAAGAGGCCTGAAAAGGGTGGTTAGGAGGCTGTTGTAGAAACCCAGAGGCAAGATAATGGTGGCCAAGACTGTGGCTGTGGCTGAGGAGATGTAGAGAAGCAGACAGACAAAAGCAGCGTCTGTCGAGATTGAGCACTTCCAAGCAATTTCAAAGAGAGACTCAAGTCCCCTAGAAGCAATAATTTGGAATATGCTAATTATCAATTTGAAGAACAAATCCATCTTGGAAGAAATACAACCAGAATGCTCCTTAGAAGCAAGCATGGTGAGACTTTGATTTGCTTACTTTGGACACGTCATCAGGAAAGACCAATCGCTAGAAAAGGACATCCTATTTGATAAAGTAGAGTTAGCGAAAACTAGGAAAACCCTCAATGAGCTGGATTGACACAATAGCCGCAACAATGGACTCAAACATACGATCACGAAGATGCCTCAGGACTGGGCAACATTCCTTTCTGTCATACATAAGGTCACTGGAGTCAGAGCTGACTTGAAGGCAACTAACAAAAACAACTAATTACCAGTTATTTTTACTCAGTCATTTTAATAAAAGCCCCAGTTAAGAAGTTCTTAAGTCAGACCCATATAAAATAAGACCATAGCATGAACAGCCTTAAAATATTATAGAATTCAGCTCGTTGAAAACCCCTTCAAAACCCTGTTCCCTCACACCTGCGTTGCCATGTGGTCTGCCCTCTTGGCCTCTTCTGGCCACTGGGAGAGCAGTTGCCCATGCCCATACTTGTGACCACCTTATTCTAAGGACTCCTGCGGCCACAGCTCCCACGCAAGGCCCCATTAGGTTCCTCAGGCACCCACACTGTGCTGGGAAATGCCCCGCTCACCAACTCAGCATTTCAGTCCACAACTCCACGGCTTCTCTGGTTTTCTTTCCTGGATTGTGTATATGGCAGATGACTGGAATACAGTCTGGTAAATGATTGCTTCCTGCCGAGATGACAAGTTTCTAAAGCACATGTGTGGGTCTGTGTGAAGAAAATGTTTTGCTCATGAGCATCTTTGGCTGGATAGCGTGGAAACTGTGAAGCCCTGGATTGCTTCCTCTGCCAGTGGTTTTCTGGGGTTGCAAGGTGGGGGGAGCAGGAGGCCTAGCCGGCAGGAGGCAGCGATTAGCCAAACCAGACCTGCCTGCCATTGTATCAGCCACATCAGAAGCATCCTCCTTGTTCCTGATGTAGTCTGTAAAGATGCGGATAACTCACTTTTTGTTTCGGAATATGAGAAAGTGAGTCTAACGTTGAAAGTGAATCCGGGACGCTGGGATTGCTAGCTCTTGTTTGCAGAATGCTGGCAGACCCAATGAGGCATTTGACCAACTCGTCATATTCGTAACTTCTGCATTCTTTTTAAGTACGGATATTTCTATGGAAGGTAAAAAAACAAAGGATTAAAAAAAAAAAAAAAGGTCAGGCTTCCCATTCCAGGCGTTTGCATCTGGTTAGTGCTTTTTCCTCCGGGATTGGATGGGGCGGGGGTCGGGTGGGGGCGTTGTGCGCCGTCTTGTGGACATATGCGGAACTGCACCTTCCTAAGAACCTGGACTCAGGAGAAACTACCTTCGCAAACTTCACCAGCTGAGAGGGTGGGAGGGGACTGTCACATCCTCTGGTGCCCAGAGGTAAAGACCGCACTCCAGGCTTGCCCAAAGGACGACGGGCACAAACGGAATGAGGACGATTGGAGTGTTAACCTTCCCTGCTACTCTGCAGTGATCAGATAATCTGTAACCGTCACAGCCAGCATCTAGAGGGCGTTCTGAGGCGGCGCAGCTTACACTGCAAATGGAGACAGGACAAGCCTCTCACTGGATCTCAAGTGGGGCTCTTTGTAAAACTAAATTTCCCACAATGTTTTCTTTTTTTTCCTCTCTCTCTCTTTTTTTTTTTTTTTTCATTGT